TCTAAAAAGCTGAGCATCTATGGGTGGTTCTGACGGGACCCAGTACCCATTGGAACTAGTCCTTGATGTTATATAGAACTCATATGTGCTGGTATAATAATTTTTGGTGCTATTGATCTGTTAATTTTTTTTTTACCTTTACAGTTTTATTTCATCCATCCATTTTCAAACACACTTAATCCCAAGTGGGGTCGCGAGGGGTGCTGGCGCCTATCTCCAGCTGTCAATGGGCAAGAGGCAGGGTACACCCTGGACAGGTCGCCAGTCCATTGCAGCACAGAGACAAACAACAAGACAAATTCACGCCCACACTCACACCTAAGGAGAATTTAGAGAAGCCAATTAACCTAACAGTCAAGTTTTTGGACTGTGGGTGGAAGCCAGGTAGCCTGACGTAGTCCGACTCAATTCTAGTCAGAATATGAGTCCGATACTGCTCCATAGAGCTGTGATTATGGGGCGTGTTTTGAAGGAACCAGGAAAAAAAAAATGCCTCTACATTCAATTGGATAGACCTACAACCAATAAGAGCAACGGAGTGCGTGACGTATGTTAAGCAATGCATAGTTGTTGTCCACAAAAATCAAAGCGTGCAGTTGCACGCCTAGAATACGAAGATGAGCCTTGATCACGTTTCTCTGTTCCCCTTTTAAAATTAATTTGCTGTCGATATCTTCTAGGACAGACCTAATAGCAGAATCTACTCACCTCAACTCTCCAGCGGCAGCCATTGTTGTTGTCACCCAAGCGCACTTTGGTCACATGGTTGATTACGTTACTGTTGATCAACTGTCCATCATCGTATAAAGCCCGCCCTGACAATTTGATTGGATCGCCAGAGAGTGGGCGATCATACTCGCGCTACTATGGAGCAATGCCAGACCGAACTTCCCAACCTCAAACCTTGTGGGCGGGACTAAGTTCGGAATGGCACCCAGGCTAGAAGCCAGGTACCTGACGCATGCTCAGGGAGAACATGCAAACAGTTCTCTGCAGAAAGACCCCGGGCCAGGAATTAAACCCAGAACCTTCTTGCTGCAAGGCAGCAGTGCTACCCACTACTCCACCAAGCATGCCAGTTTTATTTCAAAAATTATTAAGAATGAAGGTAATGCACTTTTAGCATTAGTAATGTTACTGTGGGGTAACATTTTTAGGGAAGCACGGATTGCCATTTTCTGGTCGACATCCAATCTTTAAAAAGCCTGATGTGCCAATTCTGATTTTGACCAATACCGATGTTAGAATTGTTTTATATATTTCCGAAAATAAAGATTAAAGACCTGCTTACCACTGGGAAGATGCCTTTGCAAGGCTGTAACTACCCTTTCAAAGGCTAAGGCCTAAATGGGTTTGTTTTTTTATGGTATAATTTCTACCACCTACTTCTACTTGACACTGGAACCAAATTGATAAAAATGTTCGACCACCCTAGTTTTATTTTTTCTAAGATGTATATTTCCTGAACAAAGTAATTTTTTATTGTGTTTTTTAACCTAGGTCTTTACTTTTATTGTTTTTATAACCACGACACAGAACTTAATGTCCTATGGAAAATACCCTTGAATTGTACTTAATTTTTTTTCTCATGCATTAATGGTTGCTGCAACTTAGTCTCATTGATTAGTGCAGGAGTCAGTTTCTAGGATTATCCTTTATCCATTGTTTGTCTGTAATGATTTTCCGCCCCCTAGTGGTCGTAACATAGAAAGCATTAAACACTTTCTGATCCCCCTGCATTAATATTAAACTAATTAGAGGTGGGTAATCCAAGAAGTAAAAATCCTGTGCAGAAATTAGTTCCAACCATTGGCATTTGCAGATCCACAACACAGACTAATAACCTGAGGGTTTAACCACCTGGTTAAGTGAACAGGATGAAGGAGAAGGGCAGGGTTTTTAATTACTTGACCTGAATTATCCACCTCTGAAACAAATGGTAGAAAATAGGCTGTTTAGAATAAAAGAACAGTTATTTTGAGCTTTTAAGTCAACGCTAAGATGAAGAAAAAACAACACTAATGTACGTAACTGGGATCTCTCAATAAAAATGGAAATATAGCGATGGATATAAACAGGTTTTCGAAATTAGTGGAGCATAAAGAAAAGTCCCAGCTTTGGAAATATCCAACATTCAATAAAGTTAATAATATATAAGCGCCAAACTGCCAAAGATCCAAGACCCAGCTCATCTATATACCCCTTTATATCCTCTGCTCCTTGTTTATGGAATAGCCTGCCACTACAAATTAGGGAGGCTCCTTCCCTGCCGAATGTCAAAACATTGCTCAAGACCTACTTTTAGTCACTGGCTTTTATCACTGGCAGGAATTAGTTGTTATGACATTTATTTAGCCATCTTATAATTGCCCTTATTTTATTAAATTTTTTTTACCGTATTTTAGTCTTTTATTGTGTTTTATCCTTTTAGTTATGTTCAGCTGTAGCTGTTTTTAAGCACTATGTATAAAGTTGAAAATGATGATGATGAGTAAAGTTACATCCATGTTAGAATCCAAATTTTAGAAAAAAATGGTGTCACTTTTTATATAAATAATCTATAAAGTGTATGAGTTGTTTTTTTTTTAAGAATTTTTTGTTGAAATGTACCTTTATGTGTGTGTTTGTTCATTTTTATCGCAAATAAATCTAATATATTTTCTGCATGTTATAGTGTTAAGGTTTTTTTTTTTGTCACTTCTACAATTAAGGTGTCTGTTGTGAAAGGTGGAAGAAAACCACTGAGCTACAAAAAATATTCTGCATATATTTTAAATATATGTGTTTTATATATAAAGACGGCGGCAGACAACATCAGTACTTTTATTCTACATCAAGTCGAAAGTTATTTCAAGATTTAAAAGAGGGCAATTTCTAAGACGGGGACACACACGGGGATGATGCTTGTCAAATTGGTACTACAGCCTTAGAGAAAAGAACATCAGAGTTACAGGAGAGTTAAAAATAATGTATTGTTAAATTCATCCTTATGCTAAATGTATTGATATTCGGAAACATACTTCGTTCTTGTCCTGACTCCTTCTTAACTACCAAACCTATTCGTATAGCATGTTTCCTGTGGGCGCACTTCAACTGTGTATTGTTGATAATTTGAGGTATTTAGATTGAGCCTAAACATTTTACTATAACGCATTGCAGGAAATCAGACTTAAATTAAATAAAAGGTGTATCAATCTGGGCATTACCTCATTACTGTCAATGGCAAAAAAAAAAAAAATAAGACAAAAGGATTGGTACGAAATAAATCTATTCAATTATTTTTTTATGGCTCTGACAGTCACGTCTAGAAGAACAGGTGTTGCTCTTATACTTTTATTAAAGTTGGCATATGAACAAAGCAGGAATAAAGAAATGTGTGATAAACAGAAAACCAGAACTAAAAATTTGGGAGCAAAAAGGGTCATTTTTGTTTTACTGCAAATTATGCAAGTTTGAAAAAAGAAATAATGAAACCACTCCATGGTTTAAATAATGATTTCGTCATTGCAGCCTACGGCGATCAATCAGTAAAAGCACCTCCTCAGGTCATAATGTAGTAATGCTATACTGATATTTGCATCTCAGGGAAGGGTAAGCCCAACTGGTTAATTTCTTATACTGTCTTTGTTTGGCTGGTGGCCGCTTTTGTAAGGTGTCCACAAATGAGCGGCTGGTATGAGGGAAATACGAGGCTACTAAATGGTTATGCTGTTTTCACACTTAATGCAATTCCAGCAACAAAGTTGCTACAATCCAGTGCTGATGCTCACCTGACATATAACCAGAAAGTTGCAAGACAGGCGATAAGCTACACTCCTGTTTCTTTCACTATGGTTTTTGCACTGATTCTGGCCTGATCACTCAGTCCATACACCTGCTCTGCACCACCCGTCTGCAATCAGCTTTGACCGGAGTCACCTGTTTCCAGCACTTTAAAAACCCCATCAGATCAGTCCTCTGTGCCAAATTATCTCGAGCCAACCCGCTACGAATAGTCCAGCATCTAAAGGAGTACCTGACAACCTATCTGTTTCTGACCCGATCTGCCTCCTGACTCCGAGCCTGCCTGACCCCTGTATGATTCTGCCTGCCTGATTACCCTCTCTGCTCTGCCTCTGGATCCCCGGATCTCTGTGTCGTTCTGCCATCCTGCTCCCCTCTCTCTGGATTTCTGACTCGGAAAAGCTAAGCTAAACTGCCTGCCTCCTGGATCTAACTGGTAAACCTCCCTTAATCTGCCCACCTGTCTACCTGCAGCCTGTTTGCCCAGACAGATTCAGCCCCGCTTTCAGATTAACCCTTTCAATAAACCAATCAAAATGTCACCAACCTGTCTTGGTTTATTTGGATCCAGTCTCTGTCTCATTACAACCACATCATCTAATATAGAGGGCTTCCATCTGCCTCTTGCCAGTTTTAATAGAGCACCTGGATTAGACCAAGCAAGTCATGATGCTTTTCAGAGAGTCCAAGAGCTACGGCTGAATTACAGTCGCCACCAATCTTGTTTCAGTCTGACCAAGATGTTATTCTCCTTAATGCTCTGTGCAGATTGCCAACATTGAAATTGTTTTGGGTTTTTATTTTCACAAGTTTGACATAATTGGAAAAGCTTATGCGCCACTTTTTCAGAATCTAAATAACTCAGCACCTGATGGCTTACTACACAGCTTAAAACAGGTGAGAAGACCGTACCATAGTTAGAGTATGACACTGTACCTTGTCCTGCATACAAGAGAATTAAGTGGATCATCTAATGATATTTTCCTGTTTTCCAATGATGTTAGCATACAGTAAATGGGGGAATGAAAGAGTAGTGCATATCAAATGACCAGGTTCTCAGAAGATTAGGACATTTCTTTAAATAGTTTGAAGAAGAGAAAGAATTGTGTGTGGTTCTAGAAAATAAGTAACAGGGTGGTGTTCGTCTTCAAGTTTCACTTCAACTCTCAGTCATTAAGGACATTGGTATTTACTCTTTGGGAGAGAGGAAGGCAGGAGGCAGACTGTTCACTAACAATGCTGCTGGACACCATCAGAATGATCCTTCTTCTTTTCTTCCTTTTTACTGGTAAGTTAGTGATGCCTTTGTTTGTTTACTCACACTCACTATTAAAATTGAGGGTTATGTGTGGAATGACTTTGTATCATGTGATACATAAGAGTACACCATAAACAAGACTTGAAAACAAAAAAACTACCTAAAGTGCTGTGATTATTGCACAGATAAATGAAGTTCTTTACTGTAAGGAATGAAGACACTTGGAGATGAGCGGCAAAAAAACATTAATAGATTCATGTAAAGAATTCAAATATGAAGATAAAATAATTAATTGCAGTCATATCATTAGTGCATGGTTATATATCTTATGTGATAGATTTCTGTTATCATTCACATGATAATTAATATTCTTTATTCAAATATATATAATGAGAGGTAATAGTAACAGTAGAAATATTATTTACAAGCACCTTAGTTCGATGCCTTTTAAAGTCTTGAAAAGCTGCCTAAAAATTTTTGACACATATTTGACATCTATTTTTGATATCTTTAGCAACGTCTTTGCAAATAATTTGAGAGGTCTTTAGATCTGTAAGGAAAATTCTGCAAGTTTCATAAGATATAAGTACTTTCAGTAACGTGACCCTTCGTAGAAATCAGGATGTGGTTAAGCCCCAACTTCCTCTAAGGACACTTGCCAAGGACAGCGTAGCTGACAAAACTGCCATCATGAGGCAGTCTTATTATTGCTTGCTTCAAGCTTATGAAACCATTGTAGGAAAAAAAAAAAACAGATTAGAAAATTAGTCAGATAGTTCTTTTAGTTCTTTAATCCTTAATGTGTTACTATTTTTGCTATGTAGCCTGCTATATGAGCACAGAAGGGCCATCAAGATGCTGTATTAATGACATTTTTCATCTTTACTCTGTTTATTTTCAACTTCATTGCCACTTTTGAGACTAAGATAATTATTTTCTGTTTTGCCAACAAACTTTTGCCCAAACAAAAGTCATTCTAAGCCAAAACGAATAAGTGTCTGAAAAGAACAAGAATGTCTGTCTTACCTTGTTGATGTTGTTCTTGTAGAAAACGAAGATCATATCAATAGTTACATGTACTGGTTGTACAATTGATTCAATAGACAATTTATACTCAAATGCTAGTTTCATGACAAAAAAAAGGAAAGATTGCAGATTATATTTACAGAAATTGTGTTTGATGAACTAAAAATAACAGCTTTATAAAAAGTGTCACAGAAAAGCTATTCTACTACCCATTTTAAAGCTAGTATTGCACCAATACCTACTGCCACAGGAAGTTAGAAATGTTGACATTTAAAAATATAAAACTATAAGCTGTGGATTAAAGTCAAAATAGTTAAAAGAAATGTGGCTTTACTTACTTTTCTCATGTCCGGACATAATAAGAAGTTAATAAGATAAGATAATGATCTATATCTTGAGTAAATGATCATATATGTTCCCTCAAGTTCCTTGTTATTTTTTAAAGGTCTAAACTGAGGTCAAGCCCCTCGACAATTTATCAAGGCTATAGCTGGCTTGTTATGAACAAGGAAGTACATGGGAGAGATTGTTGCCACTTTAAGATTTTTTTGCCTGATTTTACTCTCAGGTTTTTTGTCAAATCTGACATAGGTTGTGTTAAATGACTTCCCACTAAACTGAAATGTGTTGGAGGCAGCCAATGACAAACAGGGGTTTGATTAGCTGAACAAATTTCTCCTTTAATTGTAAATATACTTCAGCCAAGGTTGCCCTTTGTCACCGATTCTGTTCATAACTTTTAAGGACAGAATCTGTAGGCGCAGCCAAGATGTTAAGGGTATCCGATTTGGTGGCCTTAGGATCACGTCTCTGTTATTCACAGATGATGTGGTTCTATTGGCTTCATCAGGGCGTGGTCTATAGCTCTCACTGGAGCTGTTTGCAGCCCAGTGTGAGGATCAGTGCCTCAAAATCCGAGACCATGGTCTTGGGTGTTACCTATTGGCTGATTTATTGATTGACTGATAAAAATGTACTAATGATATTAGGAAATGAGTCTTATTCTAAAACTTTGCGCTAAAAAGAGGCATCAAAATTATCAAGAAAATACTTAAAAGTATCCTAAAAGAGCAAAGGACAGAAAAAAAAACAAACACTAAATTTATGGAATTAAATTAACCATGCTCTTAAATTTGTTTAAACGTTTCTTAAAAGCCTGACTCTTTGTCCTGGGGATGAGGTGTTGGACACAGACGAGTAAACATACAGCTAATATAAACACATATGGATGTATTTAAGTTGAAAAAACAACTAAAGGTTATTTCTGAAGACCACCATGACAGCTGTTAAACATCAACAACAGTATAAAATCAGATTAACCCATGCCCTGAGATGTTTGACTTTTGTTTATTTTGGCAGATGGAAAAAAGCAGTTTTTGTTGTGAGGTGCTCTTAACTTGATGGACCGCAGTGTAAAGCCAAAGAGGAGAGTCTGAAACAGCCTGTTTCCAGGGAGAAGGAGTGAGCTGTAATCTTAACAAATTACCTCTGAGTTCTTGAACTACCGTTCCTGAAGAGAAGGAAGATTGCAGCCAGTCATCTTCTCTCTGCTGAGCCAATAATATTCAGCTGCCTGCTCTTGTCCCAGGTTATAGCAGCAGTGTACCAGATGGTGATGGAAGATGAGAGGATGGACTCAGTATTGGCAGACTAGGACTGCATTCTCACTGCCTTGAACAGAATGGCATATGACATAACCATAGAACAAGGGGCATAAATCAGAAAAATAACAAGCATTGAGTAAAGAAACTAACAAAAAAAACTGTAAATAAAATTGTTTCACTCTTTTTGCAGGTGTTTGTCCAGTGACACCCAGTAAGATATATGTCAATGTCGGGGAGCTAGTGACACTGAATTGCGGAGTGTGCAATTATGATGCTACTGTTATTCTCTGGAAAAAGGAGAATGACCAGAAGACGCTTCTGTACAGCAACATGTCAACATCTGAGCAGCAGAAGCTTGGTTTGATTTTTTTTCAGACACACCTTGTGATTCTCAATGCGTCTGTAAACCACCAAGGGAATTACTCATGCAGTCCTTCAAGGTACAGTCAGATTTCCGATTTAATTGTGTTTAATTTGTTATAAAAAATAATCGTCAACTAATTTAGTAATCGATTAATCATTAACTAAAGAATAGAGACTTTAAAACATGTCTTTAACTGTCAAATTGACCAGCTTAAAGCAGTACTGTAATTATATCAAAGTTGCATTTACAATAAAAAAAAAAAAAATGCAAAAAAATTTTTTTCATCTCTCAATAGGCTCTAGCCAGAACTCTTTAAGTGGAAAAGTTTTAGTTTCACCTGGTTTCATTTTGTAAAAAAAAAATCTTCTTTAAGGAACCTTTAAGGAAAGAGAAACATATTTGTATCAGGATTTTCATGCTATGTTCATCTTTCATTTCGGATTTGCAGTGGTGCCATCAGCCAGATGTGGTTCAACCTAACAGTATGCTCAAAACAATCCCAGGAATGTAACTTCAGGAACACATACAGTCAAATATGTCCCACAATAGAAAAATGTGAACCGAGCTGTGATGAAAAAAAAATAATTGCTGAGGGTATTCCTGATATAACCAGCTATGAACCCAAATGGAACAAGGTATTAAAATCTGCAGCAGTTATGATCTGATAATAACATGAATCTGAAGATTTTAGAGCTTTTCTAGCTTTTGAATTTTGAAATATAGAAACACTTTGATTTTAAAATGGCTTCTTTTCCAGGAGAACGTAGAGCATAGAACATATAACAACCTGAGTGAAGAATTACAGGAAATTGGAGTCTACCGCTGCACCCTTTCATTCTTGTATTTTGGTCAAGTATACAATGCCTCCTTCAGAGAAGTACTTTTTGTCCCAGGTAAGACCACCCTCTTTTTATCTGTTTATGTGTAAGTTAATCGAGAGCTGGCTATGCAAACAAAAACAAAAAAAGTTAATTTTTTTTTAGGTGCAGTAAAGAGTCAGCCCACCCCTGGAATCACAGTACCAAGGGACGGTCAAGTGTTTGAAGTAGAACTTGGTGAGTTTTTTTTTTTTTTTTGTCTGCAGCATTGAGCAAAAGCATTCTACTTAAAACGGATTATGTTTGATTCTGATTTTAACTTTTTTTAAAGGTGCAACAGTGGTGATTAGTTGTAGAGCTGTCATAGATTCCTGTGATGATTCACTGTTCTGGCTGAGAGAAAATGACTTTGTTGAAAATAACAACAGCCTTCGGGTTTTCAACAATAATACATGGTAAGAGCTAAACTCGCATGTTTGAATTTAGCCAAAAGAAATAAACACAATAATGACTTATGTCCACTTTTTTTTTTTTTTTTGCTTTTCCTTTTATATTAAATTCACTTTATCAGTGAAGAGAAATCCAGTCAGATGAATGCATCTTTAGTCTTCAGAGGAGTATTGGAGGAAGATCTGTATACAAATTTTAGCTGTAAACTTGAAAGTGATGAACTCACTCAGTTTGGCACAATCACCCTAAGAAAAAAAGGTGTGAGAATTTAAAGATTCATCTATTTTTTAACATCACAAATCATCCATTCTACTTTACAAAATATTTGATTTTGCTGTAATAATTCCCTGTTTTTAATTGTTCCTCTGCAGTCGGCCCCCCGTATCTCATCCTAACTATGTGCACAGTCTGCATCGTGGTGCTGATCACTGTGACCGTTGTTACATACGTGAAGTTTAGAATCGATGTCACGCTTTTCATGAGAGACATGTTTGGTTTCAAAGGATGCCAGACTTACACCTCAGGTCAGTCTTTTTTTTTTTTTTACATGAAAAAGCAAAAGATACCCAAAAATCTCAGTCTGAAAATCTAGAATGCTTTCACTTGATTCATAGATTTTAGTTGGTTAAGTCACTTAAATCAGCAGCACAGTTTCTCAAAACAATCTGGTTTAAAAGTCTGGTTTGTGGTTTTCCATTCTTTGTTTGTACAAATGTTAAACTTTCAACAAAAACAAAAGTTTCTGAAAGTTACAAAGACAAAGGAGAACCAGCAGCTCTCTGATAAAGCTTACATTCAGGTTTTCAGTTTCATGATAATGTGTCTGTAAATTGTTGTTTGGTGGCGGTCTACCTCGCTTTACAGAAGTTACATTTTTTCTGTTTAGATGGAAAAAGCTATGACGCATTTTTAATGTGTTACAAAAGCAGCTTTGATGGAGGACTGAATGAAGACGACATAAAATACCTGATAAATACTTTGGAAGATCAGTTTGGTTACAGTCTCTGTCTTTATGATCGAGATGTTTCACCTGGTCAAGGTGAGTTTATACAAAATCAGGCATGTTCAATAGGACTAATGTGATATTAACTCTTTGCTCTGCTCTTTGCAGCTGTAGCTGATGCTGTTTTAGAATGTGTAGAGCAGAGCCGAGCTGTGATTCTTGTTCCCAGCTTACCAGATCCTGAACCAGGAAACAACGTGCTAAGTGCTATTCATGCTTTCCTTGTGGAGCAGAAGACTCACTTGATTTTTATAAACACGGGGGAGGCAGAGGCGTCCACATCAGGCTCTTTTCAAGAGGCTTTACAGCTTCTCAGTAAGGAGGGAGATAGTGTCACCTGGAAAGGGAGGTCATCCTCCTCTCACTTCTGGAAGCAGCTACGTTATCACTTATCAGCCCCACAGCAAGTACCAAAAATGCAACTTTTACCTCAAGAGTGCTAAATTGAAACCAGATTTTATCTAACCAGTTTATACTGCAAATAATTAATTCCTACTAATTGGTGCAATTTGAATATGGTAACATCATGCTTATCTTTTTTCTTCAAATGATCTAATGAAGGACTTGAACTATAAGAAAATTATGTTGGTCAAGCTCAGCATAAAATGCTGTCCAGCTTTTATCAAGTCCACCCCGATACACAACATTCTTATAAAAGCCATTTAGATGAGCAATTTTTTCAATTGATTGAATTATTTGATCTAAGCACTGTCACTATTGGACTATACAGGGGGGGAAAGCTGTACTGGGGGGATGCCACAGTCGTTTCTGATAAAAAAGACTGAACTGGACAGTGGAGCTACCTCAACTTCATACACAATATTTGTATTGTTTTTTAACTCCAAATCTTTTTTGTATATTGTCATTTGAAATTTCAATAAATGCTCAAATACTCTTAAAGAGTTAAATTATAAAACGTTTTATAAATTATTGAAAACGAAGGACAAAATAGAAATTTCCATCTCAGCCCACTGCTGATTTGTGCTGTTTTAAGAAGATGTTGTAGGCATTCCATGAGGCCCCTGAGGGCACCTTGCCTATGGGCACCATGTTGATGACCCCTGATCTATGGGAATCTTGTCCGGGAGAGTAGAATTAGTAATAACATGTTATTTACACAGGAACAAGAGGAAAATTAGCAAGATCCGCTTAGAACCAGCAAAACCAATTCAGAGTGTGCAAAAGTGAAACAGCATTATTGAGTCAGGGAGCACATAAGACTGGATAGCATTTTGCATGACTGAATAAATGTATGCTTGTTTTTTCTCAACAAAATTAATTATCCTCTTCAGATAATACTGCTGCCTATTTTTCACTATTTCATGATGGATATTTTTCACTCTGTTGCATTACAACCCTTTTGATACATAACCGTAGGCCATGTGTAAATATTTTCTTGCCTGAAAGATTAAAACATTTTGATCTTGGACTAGAAATCTTTGGGTATTATCAAAATGCTATATACAGATGTTATAAAAATTATTGTTTCAAGTATTTATTATTATTGTTAATTTTTATTCATGATTATTAATTTAATTTTAATTTTTATTACTATTAGTGGTGTAGTAATCAAAGTAGATGAAGTTGTCACAGTAGGGTGGAGGTTTAAAGGAGAACCCAAATGCAGAGACTGAAGTTGAAGGTGGGCACTTGCAGATTTAACACAAAAGGGTAAGAGAAGCAAAAATCCAAAAACATAAATCCACAAAATCAAAAAATACTGAAACCTAGGAATACTCACAACAAGGGGGAAAGAAATGACGACAAACCAGCAACAATGAATGAAAAGGAGGTGCATATCTGGGAGAGAGAAACAAAGACCAGGCTAATCAGCAGATTGGGAGCAGGTGTGAACTGAGGAGTCTGGAAGGGAGCTAGGAAAAGGAGACTGACACAAGAGGGGAACAGGGGGCAAACAAGACACACCTAAGAACTCAAATACAATAAAAAATAACTAGAATAACATCAAATAAAATAAGACCAACAAAAACTCAAAGATAAAACTTAAACAGAACCAAAACCATGACAGAAGTAGTATTGGTGCTTCTGTAGCAAAGTAAACTTTCTCCAGAATTACAATATAAAAGGGATAAGGCAAGAATAGTGAACTTCACAGTTCCTATATATCTGATTTACTAAGTTCCTGGCAGCCAAGCAATTATGATGTACAGTATGTATGACTTTGATGTATACAGTTTCACAGTTTATAAGCAGCAACTGAAGAGATACACATCAAATAGAAAATTGTAGCAACAAAATGATCTCCAAATGTATACAGAATCATGATATTGATGTAAACGCCCCATCTTTCATGGAATTTGCTTTTATGAATAGGCTATTTATGATATGGAAACATATGTTTAATGATATACAAGGCTTCAGGGTTTGTTCCTTTTTGTGTTGTTTTTGTGATTTTGTGAATCTTTCAATCAGTAATTTTCCTTTACATATGTGTGTGGTGATGTGTTCCTGCTAGAAATATGGGGGTATATTTAAGTCTTTATAATGTTTCATAAAACATTACTTTGAGCAACATTAAGGTATAATTAAGCTAAATGCAGTAGCACACAGTGCCCCTTGACATCTATACAAGTGACGTCATGGTTTTGGTTTTGTTCAAGTTTCATCTCTGAGTTTTTATTGGTCTTATTTCCATTTTATGTGTTCTAGGTATTTTTGATTGTATTTGAATTCTTGGATATTTCCTGTTTGCCCTCTTGTGTCAGTCTCCTTTTCCATGGCTCCCTTCTTGCCTTTGTTCACACCTGCTCCCAATCTGCTAATTAGCTTGGTCTTTGTTTCTCTTTCCCATATAATCTCCTCCTGTTCAGTTACTCTTTGCTGGTTCGTCGTCATTATTTTGTCCCCTTAGTGTTGTTTGTATTCCTGTTTTCATAATTTTTGGATTTTTGTGGATTCATGTTTTGGATTTTTGCTTTTGTTGAACTTTCAGTTAATTGAAACCTTCAAGTAACAACCTTAAGTTTCTGTGTCTGCATTTGGGTCCTATCAAACCTCCACCCCATTGTGACAGATGTAAAACAAAATAAGGGAGTCTTACTTTCAGCCAGTTTCTTTAGGGATTCACAATGTCTGTCAAGTAGTTATTGGTTGGCTGTAAAAAAAATTATCTCTGAGGAATGTTGAAAAATCTCTCTGTCACAGCCTAAAAGCATTGTTACCATGGTTATTTGGAAATGTTATCAGTTTCGTGCAACTGAAATCTTTGTGCGAATCAAATTTCAGAATTACTGACAATGCAATTACAAGAAATATATATTTAGGAGCTGATTTATTCAGTGATTTACAGACTAACAGAGGGATTTTATTAAATTCTTTGAGTACAGGGAGCCTCTGTAAGTACTTTAGAACTGGGCTGATGTGCTCTAGGAATCATGCTCACAGAATAAGTAAACTAACGTGGTCTAATGACAGAAATATGGCACTGAAACAAATTTTGAATTTTTCCACTCATGAGAGATTTTATTTCCATGACCACAGAGCGCACCTCAACATTTGGACACCTGCAACCAGGGCACCCTGCCTGTAGCTCAGAGTATTAGCATGGTGCTGCCAAGCAGTTTCATATCTATGCATGCAGTTTAAGATAACCATAGCATTTCAGAGTGCTATTTTGATCTTTGATCTATTTTGACCCTGTATTCTTTGTGTGATGGATGTGAAGAGCTGTTCAATAACGTTTAAATAGTGTAATGATATAATTATTTTCTTGTGGTTTGGATTAAGGAGGATTAAGGAACTAATAGAGTCATGTGTGAAAAACACAGTGACTCAGTTTCATGCCAGCTGACCTAATCTATGTTGTTATAGTGTTATTGTGAAGTTTAATCAATAGTGCATATATTCAACAGAGAACTGATGATGTCTGTGTGACCCTGTTTGCATGCACTGAAGTGTATTACAACAAATCTCAATCCATTTGCTTATTTATTTTAATTGTATTTTAAATAGGCTTATAGGCTAGATCTTTTGTCCAAAATAAATAAATAAATCCTCAGCACCCCTTGTTTAAAAGTACTTCCAGCGGCCCTGGACCATGGGCAGCAGCGTTTTGAATCAGCTGCATTTGTCTGACAGACTTTACCACTGAAGACACTGTGGCAGTAATCAATATAGATAAATGAATTAATGAATCATTTTAAGAGTCTGCATTGTTCCCAGGATTAAAAAAACTAACATCCAAGCTGCTTTCACATTAGTCTTTTGACTTTGGAAATATTCTTAGGCATATAAAAGGCTGACCTAGTACTTCTGAAGGTTCAGGTCATAACACCAAGATTTCAACAATAATCAGTAGCTGTAGTAGCTGAAGCTGAGCACTAACTCTGGATCTTTCCTTTGGTCCAAAGAAGAACACCTAACCCTGTTTTTATCCAGTTGGAGAAAATATGACACATCTAAAAATTCAAAATTTTAGGGGCTTTTGTCATAAAATGTGAAAACTGTACAGCTCTTATATTATTTTCCTTTGCAGAAGAACAAAGGAAACTTTCGAAGATGCGTTTGGGACTTTGTATCATTCCACAGCTTTGACGCGCGTGGGGTGGCCCCAACGGATGAGTCAGGGTGCCGCTCTGACTTCTCAAACACACTTTAAAACAACAAAAAATGATAATCCGACAATAGCTTCCTAATAATGAAGGCGTAAATGTGGGAGTCATCCATTTTAAATTACCATGTTTAGAAAAAAAAATTAACTGTTTCTGACAAAAAAAAAAAAAAAGGTTTCAAGAACAGGAAGATTTAAGTGGGTGTTTCAGCTGAATAAGAGGCATCGTGGTGTCCGTCCTTAGGTTTCACTTCGCCTCTCACGCGTTGAGGAAATTGCTTTTTTTTTTTACTTCGGAAGAAAGTAAGACAGGAGCAGAAAGTTCACAAATACAGCGCTGCTGAACACATCAGTATGATCCTGCTTATTCTTTTCCTTTTTGCAGGTAAGTTAATGGTACATTAACAGTCTACATTCTCTCATTTAGGCTACTATTTAAACTGTCAGCCTATTTACAGCCTTTTTGACTGCTTTGATGCATTTTATTTAAGACCTAATTATCCATCTAAACTGACGGTTACGCGCCTAATGATGTCACCAAGGTGCGCACATGCAGATATACTTATGATGGCATAAATAACATATGTTCTTCATAAAAAAAAGGGCGACAAAACTGCGTAAAAAAATCTTCAGGTAATGACAGCAAAAGTGGAGGTGATTGAAATAAATTATACAGATAGTGGATCAAAATGTTGGTACCCTCGTTTAATGAAATAAGAAACATAATGGTAACTTGAACCTGACAATAGTTTGAATGAAAATTATATGAAAATTCACTGGAAGATAGACATGCTCAACCTTGTTCTAATGGAATGATTTAAATATACTCACGAAACATGCCTGGACAAAAAGTATGATGCCTTTAACCTTCACTGTAAATCCTTTATGTAGCCTAAATTTACAGTTAAATCTGAATAATATTTTACTCAATTGCTCTCCTACAGTATGATGCTGTATCATACTGTGACCTGAAAAAATAATGACTGCAAATTTAGAGACATTTTATTTTTTATTTTTACAAGATTATGCAAAATCTTTGCTGTAAACAGCTAAACATTGTGGTGAGGTAAAAGAAATTGGAAACTGGAAAAACCGGAAACTCCAGACCAGTCACAGGAAAAACTGATCAGAGGAAGGCAAAAATAGCTGGAGCTGCCTGATGCCGTCCATGCTTTCCACAAAGTTAAAGGACTTTATTGATCTCACAGTGCAGAAATGTACTTTTTACATCAGCTGAGACATTTAAAGAAGAAGAATGTGACAAATTAAGAAAAAGGTGCATGGGATATATATACAGTATATACACTGTGCCCACATACAGTATGACAGGGTGTTTAAATAGGTATCTATATGGATGGATATTTAAATTTATATATATAGTTCTTGCACTTGGTGTCAAATAGTAAATTGCACATTATATATATATATATATATATATATATATATATATATATATATATATATA